GGTGAAAATTTCATGTCATTAGCCCCTCTAGTAATATATTTACTGAGAAAAATGGTGACGTGTTCAATACTTATTTTACCCGCTGTTTTGTCCCTGTTTTAAATAAAATCTATCCATCTATTTATCTTTTCTTCAGTTTGACAGTATCCCTCACTGCTAGTGTCCACCAGTGGGCTCAAGAATTGCTACCATGACAGGCATCAACAACCTTGCGGCCACAGCTACAGTAAGACACATCAACAATGGAGGCACAGAAAATGGCCAACTCAGACTCAATGTTCTCCATCTCCCTCTGAACTTGTTAGAAGTTCCCTTGGTGGTGTGAGTTGAAGCTCACTCTGAAGGGAGACTCTGCTAGACATTCCCAGCTGACCCTCACTACACGTTTGTGTCTGCCAGGTCTGACCGGCATCCTCCCCCACCAACRRAGCCAACTCACCACCAGGTAGTGGTCAGTTGRCAGCTCCGCCCCTCTCTTCACCCGAGTGTCCAAAACATGCGGCCGTCGATAAGATGGAATGACAACAAAGTCGATCCTCGAACAGCGACCTAGGGTGTCCTGGTGCCAAGAGCCGTTCCTCTCAACCACACCCCTCCAGGTCTCACTGTCATTACCCACGTGAGCGTTGAAGTCCCCCAGCAGAACGAGGGAATCCCCGTTAGGAGCTTTTTCCAGCACCCCCTCCAAGGACTCCAGAAAGGGTGGGTAATCTGAACTGCTGTTAGGCGCAYAGGCACACATAAGTCAGTGACTTTAGTCACTCTACTCCACAATCATTTCTATCAATAACGTGTTTTTCTTTGTTTCTCTTGCAGTGGAAAATTAAACATGGACCAGTCATTCTGTGTCTCTGTCCTCAAACCCAACTGGACAAAGCAGAYGGTGACTCATCCTGACCTGCTGGATGTTTCTTTCTGTTAAAATGAAGTTTTTCCTTTCTACTTTGTCTGTCTATTTTGTTAACCAGACAAAGAAACATCTTAATCACCCYCAGGAGGGAGGGAAATTAGATTAATCTTGTCAATTTAAAATTAAAATTAAGTTCCTGGAATCAGAAGCAAATGTCTTAAATTACAGAATAAAATTCCAGCTGCTTTGTTTTATGAATTTTAGGATTAACCTTGAGGTAATTAAAGAAAATTACCTGCTGGGTGATACTTTCTCCTTCACTTTGTTCCGGCAGGCACACAAAAAGAATCTGCAAGAACACATTTGATGCTCAGTTTTATTTTATATCGTGCTTCAAAGTCCCTGAGCTTTATGAGTGAATTAGCTCTGCTGCTGTTGGGACAAACCTCTGTCAGTCTGGTGGTGTCTCTGGTTGGAAGCTCCAGGCCAACACTGCACAACTCCTTTTTATTTCTGAAGAGGCTTTTTGTGGCCTGTGCTCCACAGTCACGGACAGCCTGCAAACACAAATGTAGCATACGCTTAGCCCAGACAACAAGCCAGAGTTACTATATTTATTCATTATGGAAGCATACAAGAACATTCATAAAAGGCTGTTGATACACATCTTTATATCTCTGACATATGTGACCCACCATATCAAACTGAGGATTAACTCAAATTAGTTCAAAAATGACCTAATCACATTTACAGATTCCTGGCTTTAAAAGCTAAAATTGAAACTAGAAGTTTACATAGTATTAAGTAAACTATAAGTTTACATATACCATATAAAAAGAAACATGCATTTCTTTCCATACTGTCTGATGTGAAATCAGAATAAACTTTTCTTGTTTAATGTCAATTAGGATTACAATTACAATTTACAGTTACAATTTGCTAAAAGCCAAAACAATGAGAAAGAGAAATTTAATGCAGTTTGTATAACTTCACAAGTTTAAATGCACTTCATTAGTATTTGTCAACATTGCCCTTAAACTCTCTGGTTCAGCTGCAGGTGACGCGCTGACCTTTTTTTTTTTTTTTATAGCGCTGCTGCTCTCCCCTCTACAAATAGCAGAAACCGCTGGATGGAAGTCAGCAGACGTGAGCAATCAGGTCAGTTCTCCACAATCACAATAAGATGATCAGATTAAGTGTTTACATACACGTCGTTCAGATTATAAATCGACATAAACCACCTCTCTCGTTCAGATTACAAATTCATTCGGATCAAGCTGAATCGGGTCAGAATAATCTGAATGGGGTGTTTACATGACGCACTTTTTTCCTAATGGCCGTTTAATCCGATTACTTATGTCCATGTAAATCCAGCATGATAAAAAAAAAACGTGACTTTTTATATGGTGTATGTAAACTTCAGGTTTCAACTGTATTTGTTAACAAAAACACACACACACACAAACATAGATGGCTCAGTTGTAAGTGAAAATGAATATAGTTCTGTCTAACCTCAGCACAAGTTCTCGACCTTTGTGCACTGCAGGAGAAATGACCTCCTGCTGTAGAAAAATGTAACTAAGTAACTTTTTACTCAAAGTCAGTTTTTAAGGACTTGCTTTTCTCTTTTACCTGAGTATAGTTTTACACAAATAACTTTATTTGTACTTAAGTAAAACTTCAACATAGTAATTGTACTTTACTTGAGTATGCTATTGTTTTTTTCTGCAGTGACAGAACTCCACTTGAAAACAGACCATTTCAGCCATAACTTGAGAAAGAAAGGGGCTAGCTGCATGAAACTTGAAAACCATACATTTGGAAAGATGTTTAACAATTCGGCTTGGCCAACAAAGCTCTGACCTACCTGGAAAAAAAATCGCTATTTTTAATCTGAGTGATCAGGGCTATTTGGCCAAAAGCCACCATAAGTATCTCTGCAAAGCCTTTATAATCATTCAACTCATTTATGAACTTATGTCTGTGTTTTATTAATAAAAATGAATGTTTAATTATGAAGAAAGGCCAGGCAGGGGAATATCCCCCACTGGTGGTGAAACAGAGCATTTCCTGAATCCTAAACCTCAGGAGAACTCCGCCCCCTCATTTGAATATTGGACCATGAAATTAAACGCCATGAAATGGTAAAACAGCCTGAAATAGTGAAACGGCATGAGGGAGTTCAAAATAAAAGTCCCTGAAATATGTAAAGTAGCTTTACAGAACAAGTGTCACAAAATAAAACTACAATATGTAATAAATAAATAAATAAATGAATAAAAGACATGCTAAAATGTATTAGTCCTATAATATATTAATTTTGTTTTGTTTTTTTCATGGGGACATTTATGTACTTATTTATTTATTTATTTATTTATTTATTTATTTATTGTATTTTGAATAAAACGGCTCTCCAAAGAGTAAGTAAATTTTTGTTTTAGAAAATATAAATAATATAAAGACATGCTAGTATTATAATATATTAATTTTGTTTTGTTTTTTCCATGGGGACATTTATGTATTTGATGGAATATTTATTAATACTTTATTAATTACATTATTTATTTATTGTATTTTGAATAAAACGGCTCTCCATAACAATCCACCACTGATTTTCTGCTCAGAATACAAAAGCCCACTCAGCAGGAGACTTTACAAACTGCACAAGACTAAACAACAATTTATTAGTGCATTAATGAACAAAACACACAAATGTTAGCTAGCAGACAAACCTCTTTTCGAACCGAGGCCCTGGACCTTAGTGGGGGTCCTCTGAGACGAACACCAGCTTCCATGGTAACAAAGACGTTCACAACACTGGATGTCCGACTGGCAGCTCACCTGTAAACACAAAGCAGGTAAGGCTGAGCTGCTAGAATTACAGCCAGTATACCACGTTTAGATTTGTAGACACCCTTTAAAAACTTATCTCATAATAAAATGAAAAAGTTCTCCCAGTCTCCCTCTACTACAGCAACAATCTCATGATAATATCAGTGGGAACAGTCRGTAAACACTAGAATAGTTCCTGCAGAAACTATGAAAGGGTTTGCCACGTGGCATGCAATTTAAATTAAGATTAACTTTAGTCCCCTCTAAGACAAATTTCACCTATGAGAGACAAATTATCTTATCTGAACTCTGGATTACCACAAAGGAGATGGAAATCAGCACATTTTACATTCTGTACTAAATGACAGTTTGTTCTGATAGCAGCTGTCAGGAATCTCTACAACATATAATTGCTAGAAAAGTTGTCTGTTCATACTTTAGTTTTACAAATTAAAGAAAAATTACTGAAAATGTCAATACTTTTATGCGTTCGGGACTGTTTTATCTTAAAATTGATGTCTAAACTCCTTATTGAAAGTATAATTATTGGGGGTGGGAGAAGGGTTAAGTCCTAATACCTGTAGACACACAGTATATACAGTGGGGAAAATAAGTATTTAGTCAGTCACCAATTGTGCAAGTTCTCCCACTTAAAAAGATGAGAGAGGCCTGTAATTGAC